ATTTTGCTTTCACTTTGCTGCATGTGCACAACATTGGGTTTGACCTTGGACAAGGTGTACATACTTATAACATCAAAGGGGGGTTCTTCTATATGATTGGAGGAATAGAACCTGATGCAGGTGTGCCTCCAAAATTTCTGCAGACTTACAATTATGATACCCACAATGAGATGGTTCACAATGGGGCTCTTTGCACCAGATTTACACACCTTACCATTACTCCACAGGGTAAAAAGATTTATTACCATTGATTAAAGGCCACTTGGCTGCACAATTCTCCAGCCAGCAAAATAGGAGCCACGTAATGCAAAGTAACTAAAATCACTCTTGCTTATAACCAAACGGAAATCCCTCTACCAATATGGATAACTAGAGTGATTAGCATCTGGAGTATAAAAATATGAGTTTTCCTACACTTTTATATACTTTTCCCTGTACACCTTTTGGCTGAGCTTAGTAACGCTTTGTTTCTACAGTAGTTCCGTTGTGCTATCTCTGCTCAAGGTCTTGCTTATTTAATGGGAAGTACACTTCAGGCTGTGAAGAAGGAGCCATCCGCGTTTCCATTTCAGCCGAGGTCGCTCCATGAGCATGCAGTTAAATACTGTTGTTCGACTTATGTGTAAATAAGAAGCTGCATAGGGCTCTGACCCTGACCTAGTGAATGCCGACTTGATTACTTCACGTTTAAGAGAAGCTTCCCTACAAGGAACGAGGAGTAGGGCACATTGACAATTGTATAATTGAGTCGAGGATAGAAGATTGACTGTTATGCTGTTTCCACCAACCCTACAGGATCTAGTGACGCGATGCCAGCCCTCTCCATTTGAAATAGTTTCGCATGTGTCGTGCATCCAAGATGAATACAGTGCCTATGCACCACATATAATAACCGACAACTCAAGTGCACTCCGTCCAATTTTCTAAGTTTGGGCACCTTCCTGGTGAACAGTAAAAGATTTCTCTGCGATCCAAGATAACCCGTTGAAATTTGTGAAAACGTCGTCCCATTCGAAAGATGTTCTCACAAAGAACCAAACTTTTTACACAAGCTCGTATGATGTAGATAAGTTTTTCTTCTTACTCGTGATAACAACGTAACATAAGCTGATTTAATTTTCAGAATGAACTTAAATTAAAGTGAACGGCACGAGATTGATAATGCTTATAAAAGCTTAGATTCGAAGATAAGCAACTTGATCAAAAAAATTAGCAGAAGTATGATTAGATAATTGGCTTGCGTGTAGAACCATGTATCACTGGTGGAATTCTGCGTTGTTAGGAAGATTCACACGTAGAAAGTGAGCACCCCTTACAAGTATCAGGAACGGGTACCTGACACTTGTGGATACACCCTACTTTGACTTACCATTGAGATACCCGGTTTCCAGGTTCTCAACCAAAAACAACCCAAAAGCAAACTAAAGATCAAATTTTATTCTGCAACGACTCTAAAATGACGTTAAGGAATTAATTTTACGCTGTCAAGACATAACGTCCAGGCGGCTAAAATTAATGCCTGAAATCCCATGCAATACAGAGCTACATCTCATACCGAATAAGATATGCACATTCAGTTGGAGGGATAAATTCTTCCATAGTGCAGTAAATCAACAGAGAAAACCTTCCACAGTAACGATCTAGAAAGAAGTACCCCAGAAGATAATTTCAAATATTAGAAGAGGAATTGTTAACGAAAACGGAATATCAGGTTGATGGTTACAATCTTTACAATTACAAAGGTCAGAACTCCCTATAGCTCTGAAATCAGAACACTCTCCGGTCAAGTTCAAGGACCCCATACACCTACAACATGTAGAGCAAATACGTACCTTTCAGAAGTGAAGGCGTCCTTTGTTAATCACGACTGAATATCACATGCCTGCCGTTCGCACGGATCTTTGGCTACAGACCTAGCGACTAAAACTGCTGAATCATTTACCCAAAACCCAACCCATTTCCTAACACAACCTCCACAATTGACCTCTAACACAATTGCGAAATCGGCAACAGACACTACATCAAAAGCTACCGTCCGCAAGCTTAGGCCAAATCAGAGTCATCGAAATCATCCTCGAAGTCGTTGAAGAAATCGGCATCGGAGGGCTTGTGGTCAACTGCCGCATCGCCGAGCAACTCGAGCGCATCTCCGTCCACATCTACGTCCATAGCCACTCCAACCACACCATCATCCAAATCTGGTATGAACAGTCCTGCTCCGGGAAATGACTTCATGCTTGACGACGCCGTGATAGCCCCGCTCACTTGCTCACTCACCTCCTTGATCGATTGATCGACCAATCAACAAATCGCTACAAGCAGCAAAAACTACCAGCAAAGGAACAGGAAGTCCGACACTAACAGTTCCAGCACAGCTCAAGGCCACGAAATCAAGAAAATAGCATTATGTATGTATGGACAAGGAATCCTCGCTACAGAGGCATGAGATGCGCATGAACAAACAATTCAACATCGCAGAGAGAGAGAGAGAGTGAGTGAGTGAGGGGTTGATGGAAACATCCAGAAGTGACCCAGATATATTTTCTAGGGTTTCGGGTCTAGCTCTGCAATTTGATTCACGGAGTCTCGTCGACGAAGAAGAAGAGTCTGACGCTGGCGGACGACCATCGTCGTCGGACAGTTTGGTCGTTCGTCGGGTTCTTGCTCGCCGAATGTGGACATTCAATAAAATATAATGGATTCAATAAAATATTATTATCATATGTTTTTTTTATTTGTTCATATGCTTGATTTTGTTTGTATGTATGTATGTATGTACGTGTATATATGTATATGTACATATGTACATTTGTTTATGAATGTGTATATATATATATATATATATATGTGTGTGTGTGTGTATATAAATGTATACTTATTGATACTTAAAAATACACACTTAAATGCTTATTTATAAATATATACTTATAAAAAACTAAATTTTATTTTAATATATTTTTAAAAATTATAAATGTATTATAAATCAAAACTACATAGTTTATGTACTTTTATTGTTTGAGTTTTTAATATTTTATTTTCACAATTTTTTTATATGTACATTTTATATTATATATTCTTTTTTATTTTTTTAATTAATTTATTTTTGTATAGTATTAATGAGTATATATTTGTATAATCATGGCTAAATTTTTGGCATAGATATATTATTTTATGTTATGCTTTTATACTTAAATGACTTATTTCAAGATGTGATTCTCGAAGCAAAGCAAGGGCCTGCAATAGTAGAATGCTTTATACAGAAGTTATAAGTTTTTTTTATTTATTTGTATTAAAAAAATAAGACAAAAACAAATAAAATATTTTTTAACATTTATTAATGAAATATCAATTTCAGTTCTGTTTTTGAATCTAAACTATATTATCTTCATACATAATTTATCCTTCCAATTTGTTATTAAGCTTGTTCAAGGATGAAAATTGAGGTTTACTCATATCTATAGTTTATTTGTGGTAGTGATACTATTAAGTGAATACTTCCATTAGCTCCTCACTGAATAGATATTTAAATCTTATTTTACTTGGCCGAAGTATTTATAGTGGTATCAACAATCTATTAGATGTGTTTTTTAAGGAAAAAATAATATATCAAATCACTCTAATATACATATTATAATATTACCTCAATTAATTGCAAATAAACATTTAATCATTGTTATGTTTTTTTCATTTTAAAACATGAATTTTGATGTTGGTTCAAAAAATAAACATTAACTTTGTGGAACTTCAATATCAGCTGTATTTAACTTGAATACTTAATTATCTCTATTACATATTTTTTATTTTAAAATATAAAACACAAATTAATGTTGTGACTCAAATGAAATCTTTTGGTTTTTGTCACTTTTAGTTTACAGATTCTGTCTAAATGTCACAAAGCATTTGTTTAAATAATGTGAAAGTTTTAGAGCCAGTTGATTTTAAAATTTGGAATGCATGTAATGTATGTTATTCAGTCAATATTATTTTAAATATTTGTGACATTATTATGTTTTCATTCAAATGTTTTGTCATTAGCTTTAATTAGTTTGCAACTTTACCCTATGGTTTTTATTTTATATTAATACATAGATATATGATTTTCTTTCAAATTTTTAATTACTCAAACCAGGTTTAGGGTTAGGAAGTTATTGTGATGTGAATTCCATCAGATAATGTGATTTTGATGGTCAATAGAAAAACTAACAATTTCTCCAATAGTGTCATTCTAAAATACAAGAGACAATTGATTTTAAAAAATTGGTGTCCTCATTAATATTACAGTTGGGAATAGCATTAAATGAAATACCATAATCATAGATTATTTTTAGAATTTTCTTGATCATTCTACTGAAATAAGTTTCATTTTTGGTGCATGTATCATATAGTATGTTATTGTGTTTTGCAACTTAGTGGCATTGGATGCATTGAACATGATCTCATGGACATTGTTACTAACTTACCACCAACTTGAAGAGAATTTCATTTTAGGTACTATGGACAATAGAATCCTTTCACATCAAAATCTTATATGTCAAAAATTTCACATTTGAAGACCTGTAACCATCACAACTAAGGTATTGAAGCTCAATCAGATCTTCACATACCAGAAAGGATTAAAACATCCAACCATCTTAAGCATGGAATACATGGACCATACAAAACGCTAGGTAATACTATTGAAAACCTGGTAAATAGTTGGGGAGAAACTGAATTAAAACGTGGGAGACTAACAAAACAAAAACAAAAAAAGCTTCAGATTAATTTAGCTGGCATTGGTTCACTATAATACGGTAACACTTGTCGACAGTGTTCAGTAACATAAACCTTCGGTTAAATCAGGAATTGGAAAAACCGGCACAAAAAATTGTGAAGAGCTACATGACTTCATATCACGTCTGTCGAAATACAGAAGTTAATTGGATGCAAGTGAGTTTTAAACGACTGGTCTTCTAGGTATCACCGAAAAAGCTTAACGACAACATGTACTTAAAAAATCTGTGTGGGCAGTAAGAATTGTTGAAACTGTCAGCATTCATTGCAAAAAATGGTGATAGTAGAATGTTTTAGTGGTATTTACACATTAAAGACTTCACGGAAAATGTTCTCAATCTAGAGAACTGCACTACCAGAACGCATCGGGAAATCGACCATCTCACCAACATCAGGCCATACTCAGCTGATCCTGTTGACTTTCTTCTTGTTGGAGGAAAATGGCACTTGCACAGGTATCTTTTTGGACTTCTTCACCGTACTTGACCGTAATGTATCATCAGCAATCAGCTCCTCTTTTTTGTACATAATTGCAGAATCAAAGGCAAATATTCTTAAAGCCAATGTGGAGAGAGTAGCAGATCTAGCAGCAGCTGAAAGTGATGACCAATAACACCACGTTCTCTTCAAACAGTCTGCCCGCACCATTTGCTCAAGAAGGATGACAGACTTGGTCATCTGCAAGGAATTTGGACACTATAATTTAAGTTTTCTCTGAGAAAATTTAACAAGACTAAAAATCTAGCGGACGCCACAGACATCAGAGTCACGTAGAGTGAAATGTCATTACCTCGTATATACAAAGAGCAGATTTAACAAGAGAACGCCATGCTCGCCGTCTGGCTGGTGCAGATTTTATAGGTATCAAGATGTCAACTCCCATGGCTGCCTCCATATCCAACAGCCTCATTTTTATTCCTACTAATACTCCATATTGTTCTCCTACAAGGGGACGTAATGAAGGCTCTGGAACAGCAAAAAATTTAGAAGGTTTCTTCATGGTTATGGAGTTTGGAACAACCGCTGGTGCTTCAATTACAACCGTCGCAAGTGGCACGTCCAAATTAGGAAGGGGTTGCGTCTTGAGTGCACTGAAAGGAACCAAGTCGGAGTGTTCTAAATCAGAGGTTGGTCGTAACTTATCAAAAGAGGAAACAGTTTCTACTTCGGTGGCATTGACTGCATATCTTAATTCCAGTGTGCCACTCAATGAATCCTTTTCACATCTGTTAGTATTGGGGGTACAACCAGGCTGCATCTCATCGTTTGTAATGATAATATTTTCTGCATCAACCTCGAGAGCGCATCCACCGTCCGTGTGAGAAACATAATTCTTATCTGATTCCAATATCGGCAAACCTAAGATTTCTGACGCAAAAATCAAGTCGGGGGGAACCTCCCCTGAGGTTTGAGGATCATACCAAGACACCGCATCCAAGCCTCCCTCAACAAAATCCTTCGGATTTAACTCCTCCGTGGAACTGTCATTAAGTGAAGATGGAGGTGGGGATGAACCTGGAAATTCAACTCCTTGTACATCATTAACATTAAAAACAGGATGGAATGGCTTGATCATAAGAGAGAGATCAAATGCGGGCGCAAAATGCAGAGCCGGAGCAAAAGTTGGGCCCTGGTCTGCTATACACCCAATTTGAAGTATTCTGCCCCGAGTCGAGTCTGGTGTAGAGAAATTCATTGGCAAAGAAGCATAATCAAAGTTGGCAAGTGTCATTTCTCTGGCTCCCTGAATAAGAGGTTTCTTAGAGGTCTTCTTGCCCGAGCCAGGTTTCTTCCGTTTTAATTCAGATCTTTCATTAGCTTCCCATTCATCATCTTGAAGAAGCGATGAAAAGGATCCAAATCCCATACGCAAATCCTCTGCCTCAACGTCATCAACATCCATATTCTGTGTATCATCTTGAAAGTCAGAGAGAAAGAAAGCATCTTCCACGGGCTCTTCGGATGCAGCCCAATTGCCGATGACATTTGCATCATCTGATTCCAAACAATGAGGAGGCTGTGTTTTGCTTCTAGCTGCATGTCTCTGAACTATTGGCTCTGAAAATTCTAGTGACAAACAAACATTTTTTTCACAACTAAGCACGTAAATATCCTCTCTTTCCGAAAATAGTTCGGTTTCTTCCATCGGTGAAGTAGACTTTCTTTTCTGATCTTTCTCAAAAAAACCACTATTATTTCCCTTCTCAGTTGCTTTCTGATTCTTCATATGAAAGGAATCGGTGCCTGCTGAACTAGGACAAACGCTCTTATGACTTTCAAGTTCCACTGTAGACTCGTAAGTCTCATGGCACGCTTGGCAGTGCCTTTTGAACTTCAAAAGAGGTTCTAGGCAGCTGCATCGAATTACTCTTTCCCCCATAGCCAGCAAAGCCCTCTTCGGCACTATTCTATCTAAGGAACTAGCTGAACCGTGCCTCATCTGAAGAATGGCGGTTGCCTGTAAAGCAGGGAACTTTTTAGGAATGACTTTAGAGATCTGAGCTTCCGGTTCTTTTTTTAAAGCTCCATCGGTAAGGTTTTCTAAGGGGTTGTTACTCTGTTTCTCCTGAAGAAGCTCATGAAATTTGGAAATCAAAGATTTTCGCCAGTTGCAAATGGAAGTTTTCAGAGCTAGCTCCACTTCAACACGAGGATTTAACCACGCCAAGAGGGAGTCAATTGATGCATCGTTTTGGTATGCCCACCAGCGAGTCTTCACCACCTTAGTTTTATCCACAGAATGATCTGCATAATTGAGCGGGAACATTGACATCAAACTATAGCGAGCAGTAAATGGGGCTCAGCAGTAAATAAGTTGTCAAGGTTAGCACCAACGATGATTTAAGACGCAGCCTCTTAATTTTCTAAACTCGAAATAGTAGTTCTTGATTTGGGCCTGATGCATGAGAAACTGAATGAGTAGTAACTAGACTCCAACATAGTGTTAAAAACTGTGCAGTGGGAAATGCAGTTTGTAGCAATGTAACACATCACACTCTGACATGGTCTACATTAATCAAATCACGACCAAATCAAGCAAAAGCCTTACCACCTTGTGAGATATCTCTATCGTCATCATTTCTCACGTTATGTTCTACATAAGAGAAAACGCTTTCCTCTGTCCTTTCAAATTCAGCTCCAGCTATCACATCGCATTCTGAAACGACAAGCATAGAGGCCTGCTTTGGTCCTGAAAGGGCCCAATAATTCCTTCCAATATCGTCAGTGCCAAGGTGGTCGCGCCGCAAAGCTGTGTTGTGCAGCTTCAACTTCAATTTCATAATTTCTGCATGCATCTTTAAAGATGTGCTCGAAGGAGTCGAGCCCATTATTGCAGGTGACTGCAAGAGTCCGTGTTTTTGAAGTTTAGAGAAGGCTTCACCTCTGTGTGAATCATCGATAACTTCGCCAAATGCAGGAGTACCTTGAGCATCTGTCTTCAGTTTCTTTCGAGACTCTATATTCGAAACCAATTCAAGCTTGCGTTTTGGTGTCCGAGGTAGGAATCCAGCACCGGATGTCCCGACCTTCACACTACCTTCAGATAAGCTGGAAAGTTCAGGAATCAAGCGACTTGATCGTACCGCTATCTTCCGTCCGGATTCAGCTTCCGCGTTTGATTCCTCACAAACAGCAGTGTTCTTTGTGCCCGATTCTGTTCACATGTCACAGGTTTCAAAGGTCAAGTGCGCAATTGTAAAAGCTACAAGGCAATAACACTAAAAGTTTGATGAGGTAAATATAAAAAAAAATGAAGTTTTATGTATATGCATAGCATGTACTCAAAAAGTACATCCAGCAAAGGTTATGACGCGTAGTCACTGCATTCTGAGCAGCAAGAATTATAGAAAGAGTCAACCACACATTTCACTTACCTGAACTGGTACGTCTGGGCACTTTTTCGGGGTACGTATTAACATCCCTCTCAAGGGTTCCGCCGAGTTTGAAATCAGAACCAGGGGCTACAGTCAGCCCCTGGAGTTCACTAGAAAAATGAAACTTAACAATCTGTTCATTCGAATCAAATGTCTTCAATTCTACTCCATCATGATCAGTCAAATGACTTCCCCGGGCCCCCCTGTTCTTGTCCAGATAAACATTTACTGTTTGATTTAAAGCTGCAGTGACATTCATGACCTCAACCGCAGGCTGAGCGTCTTCATTATACTCTTCGAATTTCGCTTGTTTGCTATTTCTGGTCGTTACATTCTCTGATGCAGTCTCGATTCTCGACCCAACCTCTGCCATTAAATCACCCTCCTGAGCGCCAACACAATGTTTTCTCTTCATTGCATTGACTGTGCAATTGAGGACTGCAACGGAGAGATCAGCTGAAGAAGGAAAATGATTTATTAGATTGTTAGAAGCAATCACACCATTGCTTGCATCTTCAATCTTGATTTGCTCATTCGACTTATGGTTCTCATGGATAGCACTACTGACAGATACAGTGTCACCCTTTCCCGCTTTGTCAGAATCAAGAAATGCCATAATTGTGGTATCCCTCTCAACTGCATTCTCGTATTCGTCACCATCGACGTCAAAATTTAGAAGCCGTGGCAAAGCTGGTGTAATATCTTCAGCATCTACAACGGCAGAAGAATGCTGTTTTAAGCTGATGGACCACGAATCAATACGTGCTGCTTCTGTGCCTGTCACACTGTGTGGTCGCGACTTCAAGTTTTCAACCATCTTTTTCCGCTGCTTTCCCTTCTCGTCAATAGCTATTACAGAACCCTCCCATAGTGCACGTAAAGCACTGAGTTGTTGCTGGAGATCATACGCTAATTCCACGCTCTTTTCCAAATGTGTACGGAGTTCTGTGGTCTTCAGCGATTCTTCGCATAAAAATTTAAGAATATAAATTCTCTGATGATTATGTCAAACAGTCAGTACAAATTAAGTCGTCACAGAACAAAATGTCTGGATACTGTAACCTTATCACCCAAAGAGCGAATGAGGATTACATCAAAACAAGAAAATTATTAAACAAATCCTGAGAGTTTTGAGTATCAAAAGAAACAATGCAGAAATCCAAAGTATTTACATGAGACAATTTTGCTAAAACAAAACAAACCTCAACAAACTACATTTACAACAGTAAAAGTTGAAGACAAGCGCAGTAAGAAACCATCTACATATATGGCAGAAATAGAAAATAGTGTTTGAAGTAAAACAATTCCTTACCTCCGACAGTCCCAGCTGCCAATACTCTTTCAGCTCAACTTGCTTTAAAAGACGCTCCGCAGCGCTCTCATGTTTTGTTTGAACTGGATTATCCATATTTCGATCGGCTGAACAATGATCTTCCTCCCCTTCCAATGATTCAGTCCCAACCAATTCCCCGTCCTTTCTAAGTCTGTCTGGAAAAACTTTGTCAAGCGCAACACACTCAGGACAGAACCAGGTACCTTCGGGAACCCTCTCCAGAGGTGGGTTCAAGCAGTAGGTGTGATATTCTGCATCGCACTTGTCACACAGCATGATGCTCTCGTAGTCTTCATCTACCCCACACACTCTACAAGTGTCAGTATCTTGCCAAGGAGCCCTCTGCAGCTTATTCTCATCGGGATTCTCAGCTGTTACTGACCTACTGAATAGATCGATGTCTTTTCCTTCTTCCACAGCATTAACTTCATCAATCTTGAGCTCATCCACATTAACTTCTGGAATGCCATTCATAAAGTTTAAGACCTGCACACGAGAATATGAACTTCTCACCTATGAGTCACTTCCAACAGGACTATCAACAGGACTAACATTGCGGAATTGTGCAAGACTTCATCCCCTAGGTTCAGTGAATAAAAGAAAATGGAAAAGTGAGGATGAAAAGAAGAAAAGTTGACAATACGAATGGTATACGAAGATCCAATGCGCATACTTGAGGTAAAGATACTTTTTTCCTACAATCACTATTCGCTATACAAATATAATAATGGTATTATCAAGAGTGGAGAGCAATTGGTACAAAATTGGGAAATAATGAAGCAGTAAACAGGCCGCAGTCCACGTGGCAAGTGATGAAGCAGTCATGTAACAGGCCTCTGTACTAAAACCCGCTCTCCTCCGACAAAACAAAACAACAGTAGTCAAAAATAGTGTGCCGCGAAGTACAATACCTGTTTTTGCAACAGTTCTTCGAAAATTTGAGACAAATCAGATGCCAGTTGCATCACGTCACCTCCTTTCTGCAATGACTCTACGTTCCTCCATATCTGTAGATGTAGAGGCACCACACCGGTTGTAAGCTTTTAAGGTTTCAAATAGAGAAGACAAACAAAGTAGGATGAATTTACTACAGTAGCTCAGTAGGTTCTTAAGAGTTGAGCCTTTTACTGTCAAAATTTTCGAGAATTGAATTAAAGAGACATACTTGTCTAACATCCTCCGCAAACGCATCGACAGATCCACCATAAGCCCCAGCAGCAAGCCGGGCATCGATAGTTCGAAAATCGAGGGGGCGTGCCACCATTCCATGCAGCCTTCTTGAACCGTGCCCTTCTGGACCTATGAGTATAGAAAAGGTATCAGTCTTGTCAGCGTCTGCCAAAGTCCTCAAAACAACACGGCAGCGCTGCATGAGCTCATCAACTGAGGGCATCATCTTCTTAGTCTTTGTCTTGTAATTTGGGGAATCGCAAGAGGGCGAAAGATTAAAATACGTCAAGACCTCAATAATAGCTTTCTGGAACAATGCAATGCATTTTATCAGGCATGCATTGAAAATTTTGAAATATAAATGTAGGACGACTCATGGTTGAAAACATGGCTCACAATGATTCACACATACGATATGGTTTAATACTCGCCCTTCAGACTACTCAAGATGATAATTTAGTTACTACATACAGATGCTATTAGGAATTCATGCAATGAGACTCCATAGTAAGCTTATGCAAGGTCAACTACCTAAGCTGGGCACTTCCAGAAAGATACCTTTGTCGGACCAGAAGCATTGCTTTTAAAGACTTCCTTACTTATCGACCACTTTAAAGTATCTCTAGCCCACTCTGGAGGGCCCAACTCCAGAGCTTCTTTCACCTTAGTTCTAATCCGGGAACCAACATTTGTGGCCATTTTCATTACAGGTTTTAATGCCTCCACCCATTGAGGAAGTTTGTCGAACTCGTCAACAGGGTCATCCAGTTCCTCTCCCACTTCATCCACATTTGGTAACCGAACGGCCAGTTCTTTCTCAGCTTCAACTAAAACCTGAAAGAGTTACGCATAGTCAGAAATACGTCATTAACATTCATAGAAAGGCGTATTAAGTATTGAATTTCGACTTTGATCAGCAACGAAGTGCAACGATTAAACTATTCAGCATGTGAAGTAATCAGAAGATTAGCAGCTGCAAAAATTGCAAAAATAACCCAGAAACTCGAAACTTCATCCTGTACGCACTGAAAGACCATCCTCCAGTACAGTAAAAGGATAATAATAGTAAACTAAAATCTAATTAAAGACAGAGAGTTTCCAAGCTGAAAACACAAGAAGATGGTCAAAGGTATGACTGTAATTACACAACTCTGGCAGGGACCTTCTCCGCCTACCTGTGCATCACTCTCGACACCCACAACTGTGTAGAGTGCACCGCACGGCACGCCGCCATCACCTTGGAGGCATCTCATCAACCATTTACGTTCCTCCGGTTTTAACTCTGTGAGGTCTCCATATTTCTCAACCTCAACAACAGTGATCAAATACCTTCGTACAAGTTCTGGCCAGGTCACCTCATTAATGGGCAGGTCGTTTGGAAACTCCGGCATTGTTACGTCCTGTGGAACCTGTGGAACTTCATATAGGGGTTTACGTCCCTTCTTCTTTGGCTCTTCAGATTTGTTAACATTGGGGGTACCGCTAATTCGAAACTGCAGATCAGCAAGCAATAGCTTTAGAAGTAATATATGTGTCGTGGACATCATGACGAAGTGCTCATTAAGCATGCCATCCGAAAACGCCACTGCCACCTCTGTTGCAGACACCTCTAGTCCCGGCGAATCAGCAGGGCCGATTGTTCTATTACTTATCTCGTGTACAGCCGTCCTTTGTGGTGGATTCCTAATTTGCCCTGTGGTCGTATCTTGCTTAAGCCCATGGGCTATCAGAGAAGTTCTGACACAGCCTGAACCTTCAGCTTTTAAACCATCACTTTCACAAGCAAAATATGGACCATTCTCTAGCGGAACACCAGGTCTTGCTCCACCATGCTCGCTAAGACTACCACGACCTGCTACAGCACAATTTTTTTCTGAATCTTTCCTGCTCCTGAGATCGAGAGAATCTCGTATTTTCACGTCTAAAATTGTGTCCGTTGCCAAAGGTGGCCCTAAGTTTACCAAACCTGATTCCAATTCCTCGTAGGTTAAAGATGTCCAACCAAGGACGTCGGAGAAACGGCACAAAAACTCCCAAACCTGCCACAAATATACATGACAATCACAAGATATTGTTCATTACTAATAAAGAAGCCATAAAAATTGAAAGAATGCATATCTCGAAAAAAGCAGACGACACAAAACATTCAGTTTGGAAATAAAAAATCAACAAGCAAATGAAAAAGTTGCAGTAAAATTTCTGCCAATACAAAATGAGCTGCTGTACCTGAAGGGTATCTCCTACGAGTTCTGCAGGGATTCTTCTCGTCAGAAGTTCACCAGCAGGCGGATGCGTACGACTTTCTTTGACAAATGGAATGTTTTTTACAATGGGCCTCTTAGAAACCTCAACAAGCTCACCACGCCTCATACTTAGTAATTTCTCTTTACTGGATCTAAAGCCCTCAACCGATAAATCTACAGGATTTATTGGCGACCCCAGCTGCCAGTGACAAAGAGTATTTGTTGTCAGATCGCTTCCCAAGGTATTATCTCAAAAGATGCAGAATGATGTCCCCTTTTACATCATATTGCAGCTTCCAACATATTATCTTAGAATGGGTTGATGCACTCCTTGCATGCCCAGACATTTTCAAGCAAGTGAAATTCTGTCGGCATCAGTTAGAATCAGCGACCAGATACTTTAGCAATAACAGCCCCGAATGTTATACTGCAAAACTGATTGATGCTTGAGAATGCATTCGAAGATAGAAAACTCTTTGCAAAAGCTTTAAGCGCCCAGGAATTCAAACTCCGAGATAGTACACAGAACTGAACAAACAAGTAATGTAGGAGTTTGAAAACATGATTTCTGAGATGTGCATAACCACAACATACCTTCTGAGCAGTATCCTGTACATTTGAATCTTTCCGTCGCTTGGTTTCTTTCCGAGAATTTGCGAGTCCTAGAAACCTGACCACAGCAAGTCATGATGCAGACCATTCATTATAAGACGAAATAAAGATCTTATCGTAGAAAAGGGTGTTTCGAGATCTTCTCTTTATTGTTACATGTGAAAAGAAGTGAATAATGTAGAACTATCCATAAATCACAACCACCAGGAGTTTCGCTACACAAAATTTAAAAAGAATGTTGTAATAGAAGTTCAAAAACATGACACATTGACGTACTACAATGACTGCACATGTATCACTGCAAACCAAAAATAGCAGGGTAAGGCACGAAAAGATCCATCCTCCCAATTTTCTCACAACATCAAGAGTATGGCCCCTTCTATTGGCAGCAATTAAGTAAGAGTTGACACCACAGGTTACTAACGCCCCTGACATTCGAACTAACAATAAACTATTATTATTCTGTTCTGAACCGATTCCACAGTGGCCCCAAGCAGTTATACTACTAAATAGTTATTGTATAAGTCACAACAAACACCTATCTAACTTACCAGCCGTTACTACCACAAAAAAGGCGAAAGAAACATTACCCTATATTAAGAGCAGGTTGCAGTTCGATGAGTCCGCTATCCTGAATTCCCATGTCCTTCGTTGCATTTGTGATAATTTGCTCTTTCAACACTTTTGAATCCTTCCTTGGACGCCCTCTGCCTCTTTTAACAGGCATCACATTTTCTTTACAAGCAAGTCTAGCAACATCTTCGTTTTTAGTTCTCGCTGATTTAAAGCTAAGATTACCAGCCCCTCCATGACCATAATCTGTCCTTGTCGCAGGTGATGTCTGCAATTGTATTCCATTACCATCGTCTTCAACAGCTGCATCAATAGCAGGTAATATGACAACAAGACGTTCAAGAGCATCAGCATGCGACGTAGATACATCCCATTTTGAATCTGCCTCCTTCCGATCATGCTGTGCAGTGATCCTCCCTAGTCCCCAGTACTGTCCCTCAAGCTCTGGCCCACAAGAATCACAACGCCAGTGCTCATTCTCTTTCTCCATGGCTTGGTTAGGATTAAGCTCTACACAGATTAAGTGATAACTTTGCTGACACTTATCGCACACAATTGTGTACTTTGCAGTTTCAGGTTTCTTGCAAATGCTGCATTGATAATTGCTATACATGCCTGTGTCTCCGGGAAAATCAGCTGCCAAACCCACCACTACTTTTGGAATACCATGTACTTCCATAACAGCTGCAAGTGCAGCAAACGCCTCTGCTTGGTCATCTGCATCAGTCAATCCTGCTACCGAAAACCGAAAACGGAGCTTTGGTCATTCTGAAAAATTGATAAACCGATGTGATTCTGCCCGCACGTCTATACAGAAGTTACACATGACGCACTAGAGGTTAATTTATTTATCGCAGTGCTACATATACAGTAAACTACGTGGTATTTCGTAAAAGTCCAAAGTTGACAAGCTGAGATGCAAGATCTATGCAGCTGTTGACCTAGAAAGGTATTCATATCAGAGGACCATGAATGAAATAATATTGCTTCCCCCTTATGGCCACAGATTGGATAGAACATGCTACGCACGAGTGCAGTGATTGTATCTTATGGGATCTGTCGTGTGACGAACCAGATAGATTCATTGAACTGCCGTTTTCAGATTGGATATGCTTCAACGTAGAATTTTCCACCTCTGCTCCTGTTGGTTTCGCAACTGAATCCCCTTTGAACTGACCTCTTTGAACTGACCTCATAGATAGATGTTGTGTATCCAATCCCTGTATTTCACCTTTTCGCCGATTCGCTTGTTTTGCTCCCCGCTTGACAACTTTATCACCTCCAAGATGTGCTCTTATAGATCCTTGATGAGATCGAAAACTGCTGTCATTTTCCAATTTGAAGATATCCAACCTTGGAGTTATATTTTTAGGGGATGCTTCCTCCACTAGTTCGATCACTGGAACCTCCTCGTGAGGCTTTGGACTTTCAACACGTTGACTTTCGTTCTTTCTCTCAGGTTTAACTTCGAGGTTAGTCATAGCTTCAACTCCGTCTGGTTTCCACAATGACCGAGACTTCTTTGTCCAAACGCTATTTTGTCACCAAGAGCTTTGTTCGCGGATGCTCTTGGCACGCTGACTTCTACTTCCAGAAGCAAATATTCCGTTTATCCCCCACAAAAAAAAATAATAATAATAACATTGACCACCAAGGTGAGGAAGGAAGGCCCCTCGCATCCGAGTGATTCGATCCAGCAGCATCTCACATGCACTGCAATGCACACTTACGAACGATTGGCGTTAGTCGAGTGCAACTTAGACATCTAGAACAAATGGAATAATCAAATCAAGAATCTGGGTTGACAATATTCGTGAAAAAGAGCACAAAGCATCTGCACGAGGGACACAGTATTACAGCTCTTGTTGATGAAAAAAGTAAATAGAAGAAAACAATAAGAATGCTCTCAAGGAATCGAAAAAAATTAGGAGAGAGGAAGCTCACGGAACATTCATGATCGTACATTCGTACATTCGTACATAACGTTTAATGCACATGAACTCAAACCGACCCTGGACAAGCATTGAACATGACACAGAATAGAATAAAGACTTCAGTTGAAAGTTGGTGACCCATGTAGGGTTTATGGCACATAAAAGGAGTGAATCGCACACAGCGAAGCTATATAGAATATAAATCTCTCACAAATTCGGTACTGAAAAAACTGTGAGAATGCTCAGGAGAATAGGTGTAAGAGATTCAAGAATTGACGCAAGACCATTTAATACGCCATCAAGAACACCGTGACACAAAGTTGTAAAACTTTTCAACCAGAAGAATAACAATTCAAGCATTCCGCTGAGCGAATTACGCTTGCAAATGAATTGGCAAAAAAATACATGCTGGTTCGATCTACGCCTTTAAAAAATTGTCTGGGTGCATACATGTGAGAGGCATAGAGAGACATAACAATCAAACATCGTTGCACGACAATACAGTAAAGTGTTTCTACGACCACTCCAGGGCTTCCAATCATCTACTCAGCTTCGCAAATGATTTCAAATGTGTAGGTAGAGCACTGATTGTAGACACCTAGACCCTTAGAGTCAATCCAAGTGTAACTCAGTCCATTCACGCTCAACCAAACACACCAATTCCCTTGCATAGATATAATTCAGACACAGAAGTTCGTTACTTGCAAGTAAAGAATTTAACAGAAGAGCTACAATGATAACAGCATCTAAACCTGAGAACAACCACCAGCATGCCTCAAGCTATAACCTTAACTTATAAACCGACTTCTCCCCAGAACGATGGCGATCCTGACGACTATTCGTACAACGAATCCAACGACTATCATAGATTACAACATCAGATGGATTAGTCTGCAAATTACGAACAATGATGCGTCGGTAAGTGTGAGAAATTAAGTTGATCCCGCACAGAGACCTCGGAACACTCTCGCATGCAGCCCAAGCTCAATAAGACAACATGCAGGTACTCGAAACAAACACCTTCATCGAAACAGGCGCACTCAAAAAGGCGAATTATACACCTACCTCAACCACCTTGCCTCCTCCCTCGGCCACTAACTAAATGCCACCATGCATATCATCGAGAGGAAGCCAAAAACTTAATTCCCCAGCCATCACAGGCCAGTAACGCCAATTTGCATACCGGATAGGAATGTTGTATATACAATAATCCTCAAGTCCACATTCATGAGATTCTGCTCACCAAAATTAAGGTATCCAATCTCCTTCTTCCCAATTGCAGACCACGGAGACCTCTCCTCTGGGTCACATGCAGAGCTCAAACAAACGCAAAGCGGCCCCGAATACATTCGAAAAAAATTCTGCGAATGGCATTCCGACAGAACGATGCAACGATCCGCATTCCAGAGATGGCCACAACAAAATCTCATGAAGACTGGCCAAATCCAACCCCCCGAGACAGAAAATGCATCAGGATCCAATTGACCAGAAAACCCTAATCCCCCGCACTGATCTCCTCTCTATCGTAATCGCTGGTGACTGCGCCGTCACCTGCCATTGGCCACACCCGTTGCCAACCTACGTGGCAAATGCTGATTTCCACGATCGATTGGCGCCCTGCCAGGTGTGCATCTCCTTTGACCTGGCTTTTGGCTGGAAATGTAGAAGCGTGGGAACGAGGCTGGCATTGTAACGGTTTGTGTGAACTTTGGAATTGCACTTTTTGGCAGTTCTCACACAATATGAGGCTGACTAGTTGATCAATTGGGCCCACTCACTCTAACATACATGCCCACTGTCCAGTTTTGTGAACTATTTTCTTCTCTTTGATAAAGCCATGATTTTGTCATATCCATTTAAACTCATTCCTTGGGGTACTATATACTAGTGGGTCATGTGTTAAACTGATTATATGGTGTAGGACTGAATTTCAGTACAACGAAACTTGTGTGGCCATTGTATTTATCTCTTAGTGATAATGTTGTTGAATAATGTTGTAATAGTAATGGTTAAATACAAATAGAACTAATATACTTTGACATGTGATTGCCATGTTTGTTGTTGATGTATGTATGCACATGTGAGTTATATTGTGTTTTTTTGTGTTGTAGAATCAACACAACAATACCAAATGCCTCTTGATTTCTATGAGTGAAGCCAATGTTTACTAATGGTCTTAACAAATAAAGTAATGACTATATTTATTTTTACAAACTAAATAATAAAATAGAATATATTATCATATAATGTTTTATATGCCATACAATGAATAATAATAATAATAATAATAATAATAATAACAAGGAATATCACTACAAATATAAAGACATTTGAACCCAAAAAAATAGTATTTTAAATCAATATATCAAAAACTTTGAGAAAATATTATATTCATTTAAAAAGAGATTTTATCTTTATTTATTATTGATTCTTGATTCTCCATCTTCTTAGTGCCACAAATACACAAAAACCACAAATAAGAAAAAAAAGATAAATGAAATCTTCACTAAACCTTGTTTTCTTTATAGCAAAGAATTATTTGATTCTTCATCTTTATTTTGATGGATGTTGTCAATAAAAAGCATCAATCTCCTTCATTGTATTTGAAAGCTTCTTACTTTGCTTCTATGTTTATTAACTAATATCATATATGTACCAATTTATAAGATATTCTAACATATTTTGGTACCACCATAAATCTAAGACTTCTTCAACTTAAAATTTTTAATTATTGTCTGCTTCTATAGGAGGGGGTTACATTTGTCTTTTTTATGGCATTGCCATGTCATAACATGACTATATGGTGAAAATAAAAATAAAATGGATGTTATTATAGAAGATTCTAGTAAAAAGATGTCAAAGACAAAACTCTATGAAAGCAAATAAAAAAGTGAGACTCTTTCAAAGAAATATAACAAAATAGAAATAGAAAAATATGTATATTAAAAAAGAAAATACAATGGCTATTGCCAAAAGATAGGAAAACTAAAGACTCTTAAAAGCAGGCTAGAAGTAAAAAAAGAATTGACAAGAGTGAAGAAGGCTTCACTTTTACTTCTATATATACTATCTACCTAGGATCTATGTGGTAACGTTCCAAAATCTTGTTGACTTTATATGACACATATTTTAACTTGCAAGACAAGTTTTCTATAAAGATGCCACATAGTTCGCTTGTTCCACATAGTAAGCTTGTTCTACAAGCTATCAAGACATGTTGCACGTAGTTAGCTTGTTGTCATGGACATACTCATGTAAGCTAGTAATTACATATACAAATAGGTAGAAGTAAGTAAAAGTAGATAAAAGTAAGTTAATTCTATACTATTTAATATGGAAGCTTCTTAGAAGCTTCATAGATGCTGCTTTGACTTCATAGGTATCTTTAATTGACTTTTTAGATTAGAAACGTGGTCAACAAGTTGGCCATGTGCTACACATATTGTTAGCTTGAAGATCAAGCTAACTATGTGACCCACACGTAGAAAAACTTGCCTTGTAAGTCAAGGCATGTGTCCTACAAAGTCAACACATATTGGAGGTCCTATAGAACGTCGCCACATAGCCTCTAGTTAGATAGTATATATAGAGACAAGAGTGAAGTCTTCTTCACTCTTGTCAACTCCTTTCTTGCTTCCAGTCTAGTTTCAAGGGTCTCTAGTTTTCTTGTCTTTTGGCAATAGCCATTCTAGTTTCTCTTTCAATATACATACTTATTTATTTATATTTTATTACCTTTCTTTGAGTGAAGGCTCACTTGTCTGGATTATTTTTTCATCGAGTTCTTGTCCTTGATAGATTGACAAGAGTACACCTACAATATCAGAGCTTTGTCTAATCTTGATTAAGAGTGGATTATCCCTTTTTCTTCATAAGATATAAACATATTAGAAGTTGCAGATTACCCTCTTCTAAACTAATATTGTCCTTAGTATTTTCTTTGTTCTCAAGTCCTCTCTTCTATTTGTCTTGAGCGATATTAGACATCTTCTCTTTTCTAAGTGTTATCATGACAAAACTTTTTGAAATGAAGAATGCAATGGCACAAATACAAGAGCAATTAAGGGAGTTAATGCTTGCGATGCATCAACTCAATTTACCACGACAAGGAACAACAAGATTGGCAGGAAATGAAGATATAGAAATGGTTGGAGCTGCTTCAACATCTGCACCAAATCATGTCATTTCTCTTATGGTGGAACGCCCTTCCAGTGTTAGAGAACCAAGAATTATCCTACCCGAGAAGTTTGATGGCACTAGATCCAAGTTTCGAAGATTTATCAATCAAGTGCAACTTGTCATTGAGCTTCAACCCCAAAGCTATCCAACTCTAGGATTGCAAGTTAGATTCATTAGTACGCTTCTTTTAGGTTCAGCACTATCGTGGTTTTCATCTTTTCTTGAACGACGAGATCTAATATTGGATAATCTAGAGGCTTTTTTTACTGAGTTTCGATCCATGTATGGAGAACATGATACAATTCGTGTTGCAACCAATAAGATTCATATTTTACGACAAGGCAATCGATCAGTAACGTTATATGCTTCACAATTTCGACAACTTATAACTGATATCAAGTGAGATGATGATGCACTTATTAGCCAATTTCTCTATAGATTATAATATGAGATAAAAAAAAATTAATGCTCAACTTACATGATCCTCAAACATTGAGTCAAGCAATTGACTTTGTTGTGAAGTGTGACAATCGCCTTTTTGAATTTTGATCTGAGAGCCGTACAAGTGGACCTCAACGTTACTATAATTCAATAGCAACACCAACACCTCTTCAACACATACATTCAAAAGTAGTGGATATGAAAATTGATGCAGTACGTTTCAAACTTCTTACTAAGCAAGAAAAGACTCGTTGTCATCAAGAAGAATTATCTTTATATTGTGGAGAACCAAAGCACACTGCTCAACATTGTCCAAAGAAACGACGCAATCACAAAATGAGGAGTATGGCTATGAAAGAAGATAATATGTCAGAAAACGAGTTTGTCCAGCTACAATAGGGGCCGTGCGCTTGGAACCTTGCACAATATCTAGTAAAGATCCTATTCTCTTCTCAGAGCCCTCTCTTTGTTTTATATTAAATATTATTTTAGGACCTAAACATTTCAAAGTCTCTACCTTGTTAGATTCGAGAGCCTCAAAGTATTTTTTAGATGAAAAATTTACTAAAAGACATAGCATATCTTTAATAAAGAAAACTAAATCTGTTCATGTAGAAGTCATAGATGGTTGTCCATTGTCTTCTGGAGATATTACTCATGAAATCCTTCCTATAGAAGTAATAATCAATGGTCATAATAGTTTTGTAGTATTTAATATCATTAGATCTCCCTTTAATCCAGTCATTTTAGGTTTATCGTGGTTAGAAAAATACAACCCTCAAATAGATTGGATTTCCCGAACTCTTACTTTTTCTAAAAGTATAACTAATAAAGTAGTTAATCAAGTAAAGAGTCATAAGTCCAGTTCAATTAAATCCGTATTTATAGGTGCAAGGGCTTCATTGCATGCTGCTATGAAAGAATCACCATATATTATTTATGCCACACATGTTCCTATTGGTGAAAAGACTTCAAGTGATATTCCAAGCCAATATCAAGAATTTCAAGATGTATTCGAAAAAAAAAATGCGGATACACTCTCGGAACATCATCCCTATGATTGCTCAATTGACCTTCAAGAAGAAGCACAACCGCCATTCAGACCAATCTACAGTTTATCACAAAATGAGTTGACTAAACTCAAGGAGTATATTGAAGAAAATCTAGCCAAGAATTTCATATGCCATTCTAAATCTCCAACAGGAGCTCCAATTCTATTTGTGAAGAAAAAAGATGGATCATTGCGAATGTGTGTTGATTATCGAGGACTCAACAAGATTACCATCAAGAACAGGTATCCACTACCTTTAATATCTAGACTTCTTGATCAGCTGAATCAAGCTAAGATCTATACAAAAATAGATCTTCGGAGAGCATACAATCTAGTACGCATCAAAGAAGGAGATGAATAGAAGATTGTGTTTTGAACTAGGTATGGACATTTTGAATACAATGTCATACCTTTTGGACTTACAAATACACCAGCAGCTTTTCAACATCTAATGAATAATATTTTTTGAGAGTTTTTGGATGATTTTGTGGTTTGTTATCTAGACGACATCTTGATCTATTCTAAGAATCCAGAAGAACATAAACTTCATGTTCGTTGTGTATTACACAAATTAAGAGATGTAGGACTCTATGCCAAGATACAAAAGTGTGTATTCCACACTATTCAAGTCGATTTCTTAGGTTACATCTTTTCAAATAATGGACTTATAATGGATCCTAAGAAAGTTCAAACTATTATAGATTAGAAGATTCCAAAAACGGTAAGAGATGTCCAATGTTTTTTGAGATTTACCAACTACTATCGGATCTTCATCAAAGACTTCTCTCAAGTTGCATCTCCACTT